AAGGTTCTAGTTACTCCACATCCATACCACACTTACTGCTTTCCTTTTTTATTTTGCCATTCCAGTGGATGTGTGGTGGTATCTCATAGTTTTGATTTGTATTTCTCTAAAGATTAATGATGTTGCACATCTTCCCATGTGCTTATTGTCCATTTTTATATCTTTTTTAGAGAAATATCTATTCAGATATCTTTGCCCATTTTTTATTAGACTGTTTATTCTTTTATTATTGAGTTCTTTATATATGCTAGATACAAGCCCCTTCTCAGACATATGATTTGCAAATATCATCATATTTTCTCCTATTCCATGGGCTGGAAGATGGTATCATTTGTAGGACAAGAGCATTTAACTTTGACATAGTCCAATTTATGTATTTTTTCTTTTGTCATTTGTACTTTCAATATTATACACAGGGAAACCATCGCCAATGTGAATTTTGGACTACTCTTCCTTCTTCCCATTCTTCCGCCAAAATGCTATATGACATTCCTGCCACATGCAAGCATCATGAGGCATAGAAAGATGGGTGAGTCACTGTCACTACAACAAGAACTCATAAACAGAAAGTTAAAACAATCTCATGAGTAGTGCCCTGTGTAAGACAAATTATTTGCTCTTAGCACAGCCAAAATACTCTTCAAACCAGAAACGAGAGAGAGAGAGAGCACCTGAAGTCAGGATTGTCGTCTCCACCCCAGTATGTATGGTTGTCACCCCCGTGGGTGCTAAGAGGAGTAGGGAATCCTGAACTCAGGCTGTCATGAGGGTCATATTTTAGTGGAAGAAACGGTACCCAATGTATGGGTTTAGGATTGAGGGAGATGGAAATGGACAGGAAGTGAGCACCCCAGGTGGCTGAATGACATGCAGTAAAAGCAAGGCGTCAGGGAAGCACAAAGAAAATCATAAATACAATCATCATTCTCTGTGGCCAGTGCAAAGGATGGTAAAGATAAGCCAAATAGAAACACTGCACCCAGACAGTGTGGGACACCGGGTTCCAGGCAAAGGAACTTGAATCACGTCCTGTTCTGTGGGAAGGGCACCAGGCCCAATGAAGCCATGGTTGGGAACGTTAGCCTCATGGCAAAGTCTAGAGTGGAGTAAGGAAAGGCGGGCTCTAGAGTCAATCACTCAGCCATTCTATTTGTCTTGTCATTCACTCTTTCATCTCATTAATATAAGAGGGAAGTCTCTTTCTGCATAGTTAACTTTAAAAATAAGTAATTTCTAAACTGGGTCCTTGATGGGGGGCTATGTAAAAGGTCCTCTTCTGTGGGTTACCAAAGGAAACATTTAGAATGGCATGCTTGAGGCAGGAATTTTGCACGCTTCATTGTGGGAAGTCAGCCCACCCAGCCTGACAGCCCAGGAGAGACAAAAAAAAAAAAAAAAAAAAGGATTATTAAGAAATACAATTAAGGAGCTACTAAATCCTCTCAAATCCAAGCAAAGCTTAATCCAAATGGAACCCCACAGGCAGGCAATGAGATAGGCCAGTTTCTCCTCTACCACACAAGCAGCCCAAATTTAAACCTCTTGTTATATGCTTTTTTAGTCAATTGATCATTCCAATAAATGTGTAATAAATTTGTTCAGGAGTAAGGAGATTAATCCTGTGATTTAAGTGAGAGAAGTTTAATATGTTTTTAAGGCACAGATGGATAGGGTAAAAGAAATCACTACATTTGGAGGGGAGAGGTTCCTGAAAGAGAATTATGCTAAATTAAGTTTCAAACACATTTTTTGGAAGCATCAAAACAAAGTCTGGGTCTTAGCATCAAAACAATGACCTGAGTCTAGGTCATGTAAAACTATGTATTAAGAAAAAAGAAGTTGGGGTGCCTGGTGGCTCAGACAGTTATTAAGCGTTTGCCTTCAGCTCAGGTCATGATCCCAGGGTCCTAGAATGGAGCCCCGACTGGGGCTCCCTGTTCAGCAGGGAGTCTGCTTCTCCCTCTCCCTCTGCCCCTCCCCCTGCTCATGCTCTCTCTCTCTCTCGAGTATTAAAAAAAAAAAAAAAGAAAAAAGAAGTTGTGACCAGGATTATATAATTTTTAGTGGACAAAATATTTGCAAAGATGGATAAGCTTGAGAATCTTTCAAATGCACACAAGTCCCCCTCACCCACCCAGGAGACTCCTGTAATTGATGCTAAAACACAGTTTGAATGGGGATAGTAACACTCCCCATGCACACTGTGCTGAGTCCCCCTTTTGAGTAGGAACCAAGGGCTGTTTATTTGATAAGAATTCAAGAAGAAAAAAAGATAAAACTGGGAGTCCATTCTGCACTTCATGAGTCCTACAAATTCTCCTTCTATGATCTGCATCTGTTTTCATCTTTCTTAACAGAAGGCTGTTGGGATACTCAGTTCTTGCCTAAGTCCCCACCTAAGCCAGGCCAATGTTCAAAGAAAAAAAAAGCAGCTTTTCACTGGAGAACTTAAAAAAAAAAAAAAAAAGAGTGGGTTTTAATGTCCTTACTTGAACTTAAAAGCCTAATGAGCCTCGGTGCCAAAGAGCGGGAGACGGGCCAAGTCTGTGAAGCCAAGTGTGATATGGCCGAAAGACAAAGGGGAAACCTCTACCGAAGGCCGATCAAATTCTTACGAGCCTGCTAAGGCCAAAATCAGCAAGGGCAAAAGGACCCAAGTTTGCTGAGATTCGAGGAGCATCTGGGTCAGAGAAAGAGCTCCAGACAAAGAGTTTGAAGACACACTGCCCTCCACCACCCTGGGTCTCCATCTCATCCTTACAAAGGGAGGTGGGAGGAGCTGACCCAGGCTGTTCACCTACCGGGGTTGCTGTGAGGATCAAGTAAGGGATGGGTTTGCAGATACTGAACAAAGCAATGGTGATTAGAAGGCATCAGTCTGAGGTTGCCAACAACTCGGGCGACCACATATCCCCGTTTGCTGAGAACAGTCTCCGATTTCATTTGTTGTTCCAGTATCTCAGCTGGTTAACAACCCCCTTTCACTCTCAAAACCATCTCAACTGACTGACAAACTACACGGTCACTCTACAAAGAAGCCATTGGGCAGACTAATCTCTTTTCTTTTTTAATAGTTGAGGAAAATATTGCATGTGTAGTTGACATTAGATAAGGTCTCCACCAAGAGCTTGCTGAAACGATGCAACAGAATGAGCCAGACTTAAAACAATTCGGTAGTCATGATTGGTGGTCTGATAGTTCCCAGAGACAGCTATTAATTGACAGAGGTCTCCAGTGCCTCCCGCTACCGGTGAGGCAGGCCTTTTCTGAAGCCTTGTGCCAGCTGACCTCCGCTGGGGCCACGTAATATAGGTGACCGCCAGCTTCTTAAGTCTTCTTGACACCCTTGGTTTCCAAGGCACCACACTTCCTTGGGTTTCCTCTCATCTCTCCGATACCCCTTTGTGAGCTTCTCTTTCTCTTACCCCTGACCCAGTGGGGAGGCTTCCTCAAACTGAGACCTTGCTCTGCTATTCTTTCTTGATGTGATCTTTTCCTCAGAGAGATTGTCATATGTCACAGCTTGGCCTTGATGTCCAACAATGGCTGGCAAATCATATTTAAAAAAGCTAAATCCATTGCCTCACCTCCAAGCTCCAAGCCCTTGTCCCCAACAGTCTACAGGATGGCCCCTGGATGGGCTATCTATTTCCCAAACTCAGCCGGCCCAAAGTGAAATTACGACCTCTCCCAACAAGTAGAGGATTTGCTTCAGTGTGTACTCTGCTGGCCATCAACAACTGAAACACTGAAGTTATTTTGTAGCCTTTTCTTTCATTTATCTATATCCTCTACCCTACCAAGTCCTGCTGATCTCTTCAGAATTCTTCTTATTTCTATTGCTCTGGAAGTCGAACCCAAAAATCTTTCCATGGCTACCAACGCCCTGAGCAATCGTGCCCCTGCCTCCTCCTCTCCATCTACTCTCATCTCACACCATCATCCCTCCCCCCACCCTCCCGCAGTTTCTTACATTTTGGCCAAATGAGTCCTTCTAATTCCTCCAATGCACGGTGCTTCTATCTTAGGGACCTCAGACATACTACTCCTTCAGTCTAGAAGATGCTTCCTCCCTACTTCCATCTCCCTTCCCTCTCTCCTGGCTAATCTCTACTCTTCATTCAGGTCTCTATCTTAATGCTTCTTCCACAAGAGAATCTGAGTTTATATTCCATATGGAGTCAGGATTTAGATTACAGATCTGAGCAGGGCGCCCCTGTTACATGATTTTATTGCATAATGTACTAGGCTTTCTAGTAACTTACCATACTTGTAAGTGGGTTCTTACAAAGCTTAGTTGGATGAAGGAAGAGAAGGCCTCCTCACTGTCAGAGTAGATCTCTTTTATGTATGCCAAACACGGCATACTCCTTCCTGACTTTAAACCTTGCCTTCTGCTCTTGTCTCCAAGCCCGATGCCCTTGTCTTTCCCTCAGCCTGTTCTCATCTTAAGTAAAATTCAGTTGATGCAATAGCTTCCCAGTAACTGTCTCCCAAACAATAACAATCTCTCTTTGTTTAACTGCTTAGTAAATCTTGGCAATTAAATCTTGGTCACTTACATTTACTCACCCACTGGTTTATACTGCTATTCACACACTGTTTTGTGCATGTGTTCAAGCCCCAAATGCATTATAAAACTCCTGAAGATCAAGATTGAGCCTTCCATTCCCTTTTCATGGCCCCCAGTTCCTATTCTGAGGCTGTGCAGAACATGGTCAATATCTAACAAACCCTCCATGTGACAAAATGTCTCTATGCAAAGACACACCATCAACTCTCAACCTGTCCTAGAAGGCTAGCACATATCTGTGGCACACCACATCTCATGCTGAAATCAGGACAAGAATCCAAGACAAGCCTTCCTTCTTAGAATAAGCAGCTCATCCATCAGCAATGATATAAACAAGTGTTTGCCAACAGATTTCTTATCTTCAGAAAATTGTTTCACCAACATAAGAACTGAGACAAAAATCCACTAGGACATTCTCTACTGGTCACTCATTTGCAAACTGACATACTCAGACTTTGCATTCCAAGAAAATGTGTCTGCTGAACAAAACCTGTAAGTTCAACCTCTATTAACTCCAAAGAAGATGGAGCTGTAGTGGAGAACCTTATACTTAAAGTAGGTACTTCTATGCTTTGGTCTTTAGTCTTCAAGGATGGGTCTGTTGTTTATGTAAAAGTGTGTGTGTGTGTGTGTGTGTGTGTGTGTGTGGAGAGAAGTGAGGGGAGGGGAGGGAGGCAGAGGAGGAAAGAGGAAAAAGGAGAGAAAGAGGAGGACAGGGAAGGTGAGAAAGAGGAGGGCAGGGGAGGGGAGAAGAGGAGAGGAGAGGGGACAGAACCAGAGGATAATACTGACAATGACAGCTAAGACTGGGACAAAGTTAAGGTCACCGATGATTAGGTAGCCCAGGGAGCAATCTCGCTGCTGAACTCACTGTATTCAGCAAGTGCCTGTAACAGAGCTGTTATGTCTGTCAGACCAGTGTCCAGGGCAGTAAATACCAAGATAAACAGAAGGGATCTGTGGGAAGCTTTCACTCCGGTACAGGAAGTGGACTGGGATATGCACTAGGGCGGAGGTAGCACAGGTCTTAGAAGCGGGACAGGAACCTACTAACGCTGCCTGGAGGGTTCTGGAACAGCTTCCCAGAGAAAGAAACTGCGACAGGCTGGCGAGAGTGGGAGGAAATGACATCACCACAGAGGTCAAGGTTACTGTTTTCAAAACAATCACTCGAGGTCTCAAGCTCTGCCAGCCAAAGCTCATTATTCACAGATGATCAGGTTTGTAAAGGTCCCAAACTTTCTTGCCCAGTTTTTGATCACAGGCTAGGCAAGACAAGCTGGAAAGTAAAATCCCAGTACGTGCATCCCATGGCTTGTTGGCAGCCCCGAGAGAAAGAGCTGATGGGTGCACAGTGACACAGAGTTGCATTGACTATGTCATATTCATAATTGACTTTGGGCCTGTTTCCAACGATCATAATGAGAACAGCTAGGGGTCCAGAGCACCAAGCAAGCACCAGACACTGCCGAGCGCTCTGCAGTACTCTCTTACCGGACTCTCTCAGGGACCTGAGGAGGTAGGGACTTCCCCATTTCATAGACGAAGGGAACCACAGTTAACAGTTAAGGGCCTGCTACCTTCCAAGCACTGAACAAAGAGATGTATCCATATGATCAATTCATTTAATCCTCAGAGCAACCCTCGTAATCAGGTACAATTATTTTGGTTACAGCTAAGGAAACTGGGGCTCTGGGAGGTCAGGTAAGTGGCGCGAGGACACATGGACACATACCGACAACGTGAGCTGTTAACGAGGTTGAACCATATGAAACCACATTTTCTGACCGGTTTTCGGCTATTTACACAATTTCATAGGATTCAACCTATGCGTTTTCCCAATCCACTCACTTTCCGCCGTGCTCACTCATAAAAGAATCGGAACTGGCTTTTCTTAAAGGTACATCTTTGGATGATAACAAAAAAGAAAGTAAAGAGGGTGGGGGAGGATGAGAACTCAAACTACAGAGAAGACAGGAGAGCACACACCCTAGAACGAGATGCCGTGGGAGCTGCCCCTTGAACACAGGGGGCGGGGGAGGAGCGCTGACCCCTTGCACAGTTGAAAACCCACCTAGAATTTCTGATTCCTCCAAAACTTACCAACTATTAGCCTGCTGTTGCCCAGAAGCCTTATCGATAACATCGATAGTCAATTAACATATATTTTGTATATTATATTATTATATACTGTATTCCTACAATAAAGTCAGCTAGGGAAAAGAAAATACTAAGAAAATCATAAGGAAGAGAAAATACATTTGCAGGACTGGACTGTATTTATGGAAAACGTCCACATAGAAGTGGACCCACACAGTTCAAACCATGTTTTTCAAGGGTCAACGGTATGCTCATTTTGCCATTCTTACTTTATCTCTTTCGCATAGGCCTCTCTTTTCCTGAACCATTTGCTTCTAGTTGCAGGTAAGGTATATGCGGAATCCTTATATTATTCTTGTCACTTATCTATAAGTTTGAAATTTTTTCAAAATAAAAAGTTGGGGGAGGACTTATGAAAAGTCCTGAGAAAACCTTCTCTAAAAAGTTATTTTATTTTCCTACATAGCATTTTTGCACTGCCCAAACTCAATTACTTAACTTTATGAGGGTAAACAATTACATCTAAAATTTATCCCGTAGTCCTTATGGGCTGACAAACTTTTTCTGTAAAGGACCAGACAGTAAATATGCTAGGCTCTCGGAGCCATATACAAACTCTTGTTTCGTGTCATTTCCAACCCTTTTAAAATGTAAAATCCATCCTGAGCAAGAAAGAAAGCCAGGGGCGCCTGGGTGGCTCAGCTGGTTAAGCGAATGCCTTCGGCTCAGGTCATGATCCCGGAGTCCCGGGATCGAGTCCCACATCGGGCTCCCTGCTCGGCGGGGAGTCTGCTTCTCCCTCTGACCCTCCTCCCTCTCATGCTCTCTGTCTCTCATTCTCTCTCTCTCAAATAAATAAATAAAATCTTTAAAAAAATAAAATAAGTAAATAAATATAAAAAAAAAGAAAATGTTAATGACTCTATGATGTTTTAGCAAATGGATATTCCATGCCTTCAGTAATTATTCCCCTGTGAATGAGTCTTTAAATCATTTCAAATTTTGAGGTGCCTGGCTTCCTCAGTTGGTTAAACATCTGCCTTCGGCTCAGGTCATGATCCTGGAGTCCCGGGATCGAGTCCCACGTCGGGCTCCCTGCTCGGCGGGGAGTCTGCTTCTCCCTCTGACCCTCCCCCCTCTCATGCTCTCTCTCTCTCTCTCTCTCATTCTCTCTCTCTCTCTCAAATAAATAAATAAAATCTTAAAAAAAAAAAAAAGAAAGAAAGCCAGGACAAAAACAGGCCAAGCCTGTTGCCAACCCCTGGTATAGACAGAATTCCACAGAGTTCTACCTAAATAATAAAGTCAGAGTCAGGAAAACAAGTCAGAAACTTTCCTTTCTGGATTTATTTCAGAACCGTCTGCTCTGGGTGTTGGGAAGGAGATGACCAGTCATCAGTGACTGTCCTGGGAGGGTCTTCCTTAGGGAATGATTGTTTGCAGCCTTCCTTTTAAACCCTGAAGTCCTCCAGGACATCATGCCGTATTTGGTTAACATTTCTAACAGCATGACACTTGTCACACATTTGCAGCATGCTCACATTTTGACCCCAGACAGTTTATTTACTGCTCCGCAGAGGACTCACATCATTTGGGCATTTGACCTCCAAGCTTCAAGTACACACACTTGGCAAAAACAACCGAGGAAGAGCAAAATGATGATAGCAAAACATATCTACTGTAATTCTCCTTGGCACATGCGGTCTAGTCTGTGCTTGCTCTTGCTGTAAGTTATACGTTCCTGTGTAAGTATCACGGCACTCCGGGCAAGCCCGTGCAAAGCCAGGGGTACTGTACTTCCCAGGCAGAGCGAAAGAGCGCCCAGGACGACTCTGATCCTACTCAGTTTCCACCTTCCGTGCTACCTGGAGGTGCCGGTCTTTTCTCCCTTGTCTTTGTAGTCTTTAGTACACATCCAGCCCTCTCCTTTGTCTCACCTAGCCTGACGGCTCTACCTAAGAAAACAGAAACCCCTACCTTCTCCCCAGACTACAGCCTCCTTATCCTCTCAGCTCTCTCATGCTTTCACTCTTACTGGACTTGCCTCCTTGTCTTAAGGAGGACCACCAGGGGTGCCTGGGTGGCTCAGTCAGTTAAGCATCCAACTTTGATTTCAGTTCAGGTCATGATCTCAGTGCCTGGGATCGAGACCCATGTCGGGCTCCATGCTCAGTGGGGAGTCTGCTGGAGATTGTCTCTCTCCTCTCCCTCTGCCCCTCCCACCACTCGTGGTCTCTCTCTCTCTCAAATAAATAATCTTTATTTTTTTTTAAAGATTTTATTTATTTATTTGACAGAGAGAGACACAGCAAGAGAGGGAACACAAACAGGGGGAGTGGGAGAGGGAGAAGCAGGCTCCCCGCCGAGCAGGGAGCCCGATGCGGGGCTCGATCCCAGGACCCTGGCATCATGACCTGAGCCGAAGGCAGACACTTGATAACTGAGCCACCCAGGCGCCCCTAAAATAAATAATCTTAAAAAAAAGAAGAAGAAGAAGAAGGCCCACCAGGCCTTTGATGCTTACATCCCAAGACCACCAACCCCATGCCATCCTTCTTCATGTTCTGTCCAGTTGAGACCCAGTGGCTATCCTCTGTACTGCCCTCCTCCCCACACTTGACGTTTTCTGGCACCAATCCCATGCCAACATCACCAACCCCAAACCTCTTTCTTTTCTCTCCCATTAAAACCTCCATTGTAGGCACAGGACAGCTGTTAAGAGTAAAAGCTAAGAAATCAGACTTCTGAATGTAAATCTTTCTTATCTGAATAATCTTAGACAAGTGATTTAATCCTCTGTGCCCCACTTAACTCCTCTGTAATGGGTATGATGATAGTCCTTACAGGCCACATGAAAGTTTGGCAAGAAAAAAAAATCAGACCCCAGGACCAGAAGGATGCCCTCTGTTTGACGAGGACTATGAATTTTTTTCAGACTCACAAACAACTCAGGAAATGTTTCGTGAACAAAGAGCATGATGTCTCTCCAGTTGTAACCACCCTATAGAGCCGATCTAACTCACACAAAAAGATGAGAGTTTGTTGAACAAAAGGAATCATTCACTGAGGCCGTCGTGGATTTTTCAGCTGGGGTCATAACACTATTACAAGACACCAACTGGGCTTCTGTTCAGAATAATACAAAGTTGAAAAGCCCCAACAATTTTTAAAAAGAGGGCTGTATGTTATGAAAGCCTTCATCTCAGAAGAGCTGAATTGCTAGTTTTCGAAATTTGAAATTATAGGGAGTTCTTCTTACATTGTTAAATGTTGCTACATGGGTGGAGGTTTTGAGTTAGAACCCCTTAATCACCAGCATCCACAAAATTCCCTCTGGTTCTAAAGAGTGGCACAGCCTGATGCATTCTCATCTACTCTCCAAAGACAGGTGTCTAAAACCTGTATGGATCCACTGTCTGGGAGCCTCCAAACTGAGTTTCCTGCCTTTTGGGGTCCTTGCCATCAACCAACTCCACCCCTGGAACACTGTAAGTCTCCTCCTTGTCAGACTGGTCTCTGGATACAAGTCTCAGGAAACACACCTGCTACTCTCAGGCTGCAGCAGCATGGTACATTTCAGCTCAGAAAAAACCTCCCCATGCCTCTGCCCCAACCAAAGAGGAGGGAAAAGTCTCGCTCCTCCATTGCTCCCAACCTTCAGTGCATTCAGCTCCAGGGCCATGCCTTTGCTTCTCATGCTCCGTGGCTCCTGGACTTAGAAATGTATTTGCATCTGGTTTCTCCAGCTGCTGACCCAGCTTTCCCTCAAAGGCCCTGGCTGGGGCTCCCGTAATGGCTCTCCTTGCCCCAGGCTACCGACGCAGTTCATTCCAGCTTAGCAAACTCTTTGCCCAGGGCAGCCAGCTGGAGTCCCACAGGGAAGCCAGGACTTGACCCTCCCTGGCCCTCAGCCTCCTTCAACTACACCAGTGAGTCTAATCCTCCACGGGTAGAAGACTTAGACAATAACTCACTTATCTTGAGTTTTGGCCTATGTACGCAGTCAGTAACACTTGTCCAAGCCTCCGTGTTGGCCAGTTCCCTTCGCTTCACTCTTGGCTGTCGGCAATCCAAACCCTTTATTTATTTAAAGAGGCCCCTGGCTATAATCTGTGCCTCCCTCTTGTCTAACCATAATGTTTCCTAACCATGGCCTAGAACCAAGCCCCGCGCCTAAACAACCCTAACATTCATTAACGCGCTTGAAAAAGGCCACCGGGAGTGCCATTGCTCACATGACAGACTCCATCCTCTAACTCAACCTCTTCATCTAGGTAAGAAGCAAGTTCTTTTTTTTTTTTTAAGATTTTATTTATTTATTTGAGAGAGAGAGAGAGAGAGCACACAAGCAGGGGGGCCGGGCAGAGGGAGAGGGAGAAGCAGATCTCCGCTGAGCAGGGAGCCTGATGTGGGGCTTGATCCCAGGACCTTGGGATCATGACCTGAGCCGAAGGCAGACGCTTAACCGACTGAGCCACCCAGGCGCCCCAAGAAGCAAGTTCTATGCATGCAAAAGTCTCTAGACCCAGAGCCTCATCTTCAGATGAACCTGCTCCATCCAAAGTCTGGCAGGCAATACTACTCCCTGACAGATTTATTCATGGGAGTATAGTGGAGAGGTGAACACCTACAAGAGTCTTTGGAGCAAATGTTAGGTATACAAAAATTGGTACCAAAGACCCACTTCAACAGAGTTAAGAGAGTACAATGCACGTATATTAGATCAGACTATGGCTAGTCTGTTAACATCAGGAGAAGGCTAAGCCCAGAATCATTGGAAAAGCAGGTGTTAGAACACAAGGGGAAATGTTTGGAGTCTGCCTGGAGTTTGTTCCTGGTGAGATGCTAAACTAATTATGGTTTATCTAAGAGATGAGCTCTAATTTAGACTTAATAAAGGGAAAAGAGGCAGTGAAGGAAGTAAAGTATGAGAAGAGAGAAGAGGCTCCACAGGAAGGAATGCATGGAAGTGGCAATCAGGGCATGTGAATTTCCCTTCGAAGGAAAAAGGACAGTGGGAGCAGGAAAAATCGCTGGCGTGAACTGTGTTGAGCGGTGCTGCACAATAATTAACATTTCTGTGGCAAATGTAATTTTTAAAAGCACCTCATCCACACTATCCTGTTGAAATTCACAAAAAGTTTATGAAATAGGCAAAAGTTAGCACTTTCTAATTACCATTTTAGATAGAAAAATTGAGACTCAAGGAGGTTAAATGATTTAAGACTTGAGTTTCTAGTTCTCAGGTTCCAAAATCCAAAGTCTTTCAACTACTTCAGTGGGTCCCAAACAATATTCTGGAAGTCGCCAAAATAAGGGTGCACTCATTCTATGTAATTTCACTTACATAAAGTTCAAGATATAAGGCAAATAAATGTTATGGTGATGGACATGAGAACAGTGCTTTTCTAGAGGTGGTGGAGATGGATTGGGAAGGGACGGGAGGGCACCTGCTGTCCTCTTTCTTGATCAGGGTGTCGGCTACATGCATGGACACAGTTCTCAAACCCCATCGGACTGTGTATTTGGAGCTGTGCATTTCCTGTGTGTACATTTCACTTCAATAGAACAAAAGGCATGATCCAAATTACAGAACCTATTAAATTCAAAATTTGAGATCTTAAAGGATATGTTCATCCACCTGTAAGTGTTAAGGTGCTCGCTTATTTTGTGTCTAGAACCACTTCACAGAAAGCTCTTGAATCCATCATCACAGCAGTACTTTATGACAAAATCTGGGTTCAAAACATAAAAACTAAGCATTGCAGTTATTGTTCATGTTTGAAATTTGCCATTAGCATAAACTGAATATATCCAAAATACATCAGGGAGCAAGCCCAGTGAGGCGTATCACCTGTCATGTTTTAAGATGCTGTAAGTAAGTAGATGCATTGCTTTCACTTGGCACAAACTGCTTTTGTTTTGGGGGAAAGGGGGAGAAAAGCTGCTACTTTTACTACAGTTGGGTCCACATCCTTCCCATTACCTGGGGCCCAGATTCCTACACTGTAAATGTTGGCTGGAGCTGAGCAGCAGTTACCAGATACTTCTTTATCTAATTAGAAATTGTCACAGTCCCCACCACTCCCTACTATACACTAAAACTCCCTCACCTACTTATGTGTACTGCCTAGCCCAGTGATTTTTAAAAATTTCAGAATCAAGCTGTGAATAAATTCGAAATGAAATACAAATTTTTACAGATGAACTGAATGGCATTAATGATTTTTCTTGACTAAAACCAACTGAATAATAGGCTATACTTACTCGCAGAGAAGGATTCCATTTTCTAATCCTGTCCGAAAATCTTTATCACCAAAACTTCTGCCCGTTACTTGCTGGGAAAAAAAAGAGAGAGAGAGTGAGAGAGAGAAAGCATAAATTTTTCTTTTTTAATCAGGAAGATCAATGATTTTTTTTTTTTAACATTTTAGAGCCTTCAAATAATTGGCGGCATTCCAAGAATGGGGAAAATCTGTTAGGTCTGAATTTCCTTTCCTTGTGTAGTTTGCTGAGATCAGCTAATCTTAAATTTAGACCATTATTTTGAAGCTTTTTCCTACCCAATAGCTCAAAAAGTGTCTGTTCTTCCTGATAAGGAAGTTACTTTTGGGGCTTGGCCACGGTAGGTCAAGGTCACAGCCTCAACACACACACACGTTCAAAAAAGCCTGCAGAAGCCTCCACCTAAGGATAAAGTATCTATCTGTTAAAACATTAAGGGGACAGATGCGGGTATGTACAGACACCTAACCTCAAAAGACAAACATCAAGACAGGAATACTAGAGCCAATATCCATAATAACTTGGTGTGAAAGAGGAAAATAAAATCTGGAAAAGCATGACTAATAGCACAGGACTGATTCTTGATACCTCTGGCTCTCAGCAGCCCTTTGACCCAGGCACCAGGGCACTCACTGGTTCATTCAATAAGTATATTGACTATCTGCGGTATGCCAGATAAATATGCATACTATAAAACCCTAAAGCAACCTCTAAAGTAGCAAAATAAGTTATAGTTAACAAGTTTAGAAGGGAGATAAAATGGAATCATAAAAAATACTCTTTTTTTTAAAGATCTTATTTATTTATTTGGCAGAGAGAAAGACAGCGAGAGAGGGAACATAAGCAGGGGGAGTGGGAGAGGGAGAAGCAGGCTTCCTGCAGAGCAGGGAGCCCAACACAGGGCTTGATCCCAGGACCCTGCGATCATGACCTGAGCCGAATGCAGACGCTTAACAACTGAGCCACCCAGGAGCCCCCAAAATACTCTTAACAATTAAAAAAGGCAAAAAGAAAAAAGAGGAAAAGAGAATACAGAATAGATGAAATAAATAAAAAGTAAATAACAATACCGTAGACTTAAACCTAAGCATATCTATAAGTGCATTAAATATAAATGGCCTAAACATCCCCAATTAAAAGACAGAGATTGTCATAATGGAAAAAAAGCAAGACTGAACTATGTGCTGCCTAGGAGAAATGCACTTTAAATATAAAGATAGAAGTAGGTTAGGGGCGCCTGGGTGGCTCAGACATTGAGCGTCTGCCTTAGGCTCAGGTCATGATCTCAGGGTCCGCATCAGGCTCCCTGCTCAGCAGGAAGCCTGCTTCTCCCTCTCCCACTCCCCCTGCTTGTGTTCCTTCTCTCACTGTGTCTCTCTCTGTCAAATACACAAATAAAATCTTAAAAAAAAAAAAAAGAAGTAGGTTAAAAATGGAAGAAAGGAATAAGATAATAATATGCTAATGTTAATTTTTAAAAACTGGGTATTAATATCAAACAAAAAAACTTTTAGAGCAAAGAATATCAAGGACAGAGAAAGTCATTTCATTATGACAAAGGGTTTAGCTAATCAGGAAGATCAAAAAATCCTAAACATTTTTATATGTAATAAAAACTTCAAAATACAAAAGCCAAAACAGATCTGCAAGTAGAAATAGACAAATTCAAAACTAGAGTCAGAAATATATTATCTCTCTCCCATAACTTACAGAACAAGCAAACAAAAAATCAATAAGGATATAGAAGACTTGAACAACACTGTCAACCAAATTGACTTAACTTATATTTCAACAATACTTCACCCTACAAGGGCAGAATACGTATTTTTTTCTTCTTAAGTTCACAATGAACATGTATTGAGATAGAACAACTTCTGTGTCAGTAAACAAGAGAAAGTCATTTTATTTATAAACTTAATTCAATTCACAAAAAAAGCATGCCATCTGACCACAATGGAATTAAATTAGAAATTAACAACAGAAACATCTCTGGGAAAAAATCTCCAAATAATTTTAAACTAAGTAACACAATGTAAAAAACAACCCACTGATCAAAGAAGAAATAAAAAGAAATTAGAATATATTTTGTAGTGAAAGAATATGGCTATGTAAAAACGTATGGAAAGACACTAAATCAGTATTTTGGGGAAATGTATAGCACAAAACACCTATATCAGAAAAGAAAATCTCAAATCAATGAATT